AGTATCGGTGATTATGGGTCCTTTCAATTAATTGAATTGAACAAATTTATCGATTTAAGAGTTTCTATTAGAAGGTTTTTCTCATTTGTCACATTTTCTTTCTATTTTAAAACTGTTTCTGTAAACTCTGATGTTGATGATTAGCGGTAATGCACGCAATATTGACAAACGGCTCTTGGAAGAAAGAAAGGCAAACTTCTTGTTGTGTTGAATACATTCCGTACATAATTTGCACGGTGAGCGGTTGTTCTCGAACTAGTTCGTTCATTCTCACATGAAATGAAACGCTGAGCCATTGTGTTTTGAATCTTCTAATGATACTGTACTTTCTTCTTGCTATAAACCTTAATTGGAAATCTGTGCAAGTGAAAGATTACGTGTTGTTCAGCTAGCGTGCTCTACTGTTAACCTCTTTCTATTCATACCCTCCTTGAATTTCGTATTATCCTTTACTTTTTTTTCTTTTTGCGAGTACGTGCTCATCCTTTCTATCATCTGTTGGTTTTCATCTTCGCCCTAAACCCTATTGAACGCTTGCTCATGAGGAACACTTTGGATTAGATGCATAGAGAACATGAGATTGAAGAGTTTGGTTATAAGAAGCTGGCAGTGTGCGTTTGCAAGGTGTTTAAGCGGGGTCGATTATTTTTTTCGGAATTATGGAAGGAAATGGGTTTACTGGTCGTAGGAGGAGTAGGTGTAGTAGGATGAGTGAAGGTGTTCTTGCCAGTTCGTTTGAGCTCGTTTTGATGTCCTCGGCAAGGATATCTGCGGCACCTCACACTCTTATTTTTTCTCCAAGAAATAATTTGCATTCTTCCTTTTACGAATGAAACATTCCGAAGGTTTTGTTGTTATAGCGGATAGCACAAAACGAATGAGAATTATTTTATTCCAGTTTACAATCCTTATTCGTTCATAAAACCCTATCAACTTGTTCCAAGGAAGCTAGTATAGTTCTGTAGCGCGTCGTGCACTAATGAGCATCGCACATTGTGGGGGCGGAACGTTAAAAGAGTTCTAACTGTATATGCCCATAGATCGCGAAATAACAGGATTTTTTTGACTTATGAACGGGTTACTTTGTGTAAATACTTCATAGATACAATAGTCTTACAGGGGAAATGCATTTGTATGAAAAGTCGTAGTAATAGAACTTTCCCCTGACCTTTAAAGAGATGGGTAACTTCAAGAACGGATGAAGAAAACTCACTGGTTTTATAGCTAATGAAAATTTTTTAAAAGCTTCCATACGTTGCGGATATTGGCAGGAAGATACATCATCATATGAAAGCATTCCACAATCGTGTATTAAGAATGTATCCCTCATCTGATAATCCACATTTGAGCAAGCAAATAGCGTGAACATACTTTGAGTTTCTCGCCCAACAGAATTGTGCCAGGTGGTATACCTATGAAATCGTATTCTTGCCAGTTAAACTCTCCGGCCTTTTTATATCCCGACGCTTCCTATAATAAGCATTCGAATGACTTCGAAAAAAATGTAAAAGTACATTTCCAACTGATATGATTATTAGATCCTGTTCCAAACTTCTATAATCTCGACAGAAAAAATTTTGAGTATTTTTTGATTTAGTGAGAGTCTGAAGGAATACGATTATGAGGAATAGTTCTACAACGTTGCCTCTCGTTTTTGATCGAAAAGGGTTTGATATGTATGTCCTTTGAAATATTTAGGAGTGATATAGAGATAATCATTGCCAGAAAGCGGTATTGCTTCTTGGGGGAGTTTTGTGTTGGACAGTATCAGCTCGTGGAAGAATACTTGTTTTTGTAGTAATCTGGAAAGAAACATCTTGCTTGTTCCGGAAGAAGCATACAAACTTATCTGTGATTTTTCTGAAGTATCCTAGAAACTCTTTATCTGCTTCAATCACATCTTGTGGTACACATTGTTCGAGATACTTACCATCTTCCCAACGCTGTATAACTCTGTAAAAAAAAACCAAGATTGTAAACGTTGCTTGTTTTCAGACCATACTTTTCAAGATGTTCCACTACTTTTGCTCCTGCTCTTTTGTTGTAGTTTAAACATACGAAATACCTTGAACAATGTCATCAATAGGTTTGAAGTTTTTATATGAACCTTTCAGCATTGAACTGATGTGTATAGTCAGGCTTGTTAATTGATACTTCTTCGAACACATTGTATAAAAGGAAGAATATACCACCGCTGAAGGAATATTGCGAAGATTTTTATGTTGATACTGCACCTGGTAAGCGTAAACGTGCTAAACCATATAAAAACTGCGTCCCCTCCGTCTTTAAGAACTTTTAAACCAAGCAGTACTTGTGCTATGAACAGCTTCATATCTCCAAACTCCTGAAATGGATTCAACGTCAAAATTTCATGAGTCGAACCCTTGTCAAGTGGACTGCTTTTGCTGCAACCGTATCAGTAACAACCAGTTGAACTCCTTGACTTTGTGTACCTATAAGATTTTTTAGAACAACTTAGCGCTGCCAATAATATACCTTTCTGCACGAATTCCACGTACCCCTCTCTGGTTTCACTTCTAAGGATATCCCCTATACCATCATAGTAGTAATCGAGAAAGAATGGCCAACTTTTAAGTGAAGAGCTGACTGGGTCATGATCTAGTAGTACGATACAAGAGAATCAACGAAGGACTAATCGTACTTGACAAACTAACACCGAATGATTTGGTGTTGTAAAATCCTCTCCGCAGTAAAATATACTCTGTGAACCCCCCTGCTCCTAGGCGTAGCTGTTCAAAAACATACAAAAATTCCACAAACCACATCCTATATCTGCCACGTAGAACAGCTCAGATTCCCGATCAAGATTCTTGAATTTGCTAATAACGTTTCGCTCTGTAGATTTTGTTAGGCGGTAATTGAATTCCTTGTCAATACCAGACAATTTATGAGAACATCTGAGCATGAAAGTTGAACCGATTTCATTGTTTGAAAAAAAAACTCAACTTGTTAAGTAAGGGTTGGCTTTTAATCGGGAACAAACTTACATTTTTCTTGTTTTTGTGATACAGTTGATATGATTTCGCGATCCGCTTAAGTGAGTAATGAATTAAGTTAATAACCTCAAGGTAGGAAGGAACCTGTTCATTTTTCACTTTTTGCATAACAATTTCTTTTTTCGCAAACAATGCCGAATCTACTTCATCCCAATCAGCATCATTGAATACAATCCAAACATCATCAATCTGCTCTAATAACTTTTTCCTATTAATCAAAAGAGTAATTGCTTTAGTAATTTTGTAGAACCTCTTGATAACGTTAACTTTCACTGTCGCCGCGACTACTTTCGACTGAGCAAACTGGGAATATAAAGCAGTAATATCATTTGAAAAACGGGGATCATTCAACTCCATCCGCATAAAAAGACACAAAATAACAGCTTATACTGAATCAATGAATAGTTGGGATCGTAGTAGTGCTCCGATCGATTGAGAAAAAGCCAATGTTGTAATGAATCACCGTAAACAAGGGATCAAACACAGCTATTTCGGGAGTAGCTGTCTAGATCTACAGATTCTAAAATCAGTAGGCGACGGTGTTAATAAAAATGCTATCGAAGTGGCAATAATTTGAGCAAGAATTAATCAATATCATGCTGGCAGAATCAGCGTTGCACTATCAGTTTCTCCTTCCGGTTCGGCATTTCCTCTAAACTGTTCTGGAGGTCCAGTTAACGCATGTATGCATGTTATATGAAGTCCACATTTTTTTTTGCACAGAATTTATGATTTGAATAAATGCACATCCGTTATAGAAAGCTGCAGTTTATATCTTTTCGGCACCACAGAACTTGTTCTTTTCAGCCTTCCTTAGTTTAGAAATAAAATCATGAACGAGAAACTTTTTTATCTTTTAAATAAGGCAGTATATCATCCAAAATTAATATTCATCTCACGCCCAGCATGGAAGTATTTTATTTCGTTCAACAATATTATAGAAGAACAAATCTTCATCTAAGTTTTGAAGGTTTTTTGCAATAGGGTCCTGGCACGATTGGTTCACACCTTTGTTCAGACAATGAACATAATAATAATTCCAAGAACTTGCAGCTTCCTTGACTAGATATCATGCTGGAAAATTCAGGAAGGGAAGGGTTCAATCCAATTGTATGTTCCCGTTATACATTGATACATAGCAATATTCTTATAGACATTGAAGCTTCGTGAGGAATTATCAAGCTTGCCGTATTCATCAGCGGCAGAATTTTTTGCTGGACTGAAAAATGTGAACTAATTTCAGTTATATTGGTTTCAACAAGAGAATTCAGATAGCAAATCAGTATGAGGAAAGATCTTCTACACTCGAGACCGAGCTGGCTTTCATACAACAAACACTGCCTGAAAAACTAGATGAACTGGGATTGTTAATTTCCTTCTACTGTCTAACTTTAGTCTGCATCTTAGATTGAAACAAACGCTACTAAACATGAGAAAAGAGATAGTGGAACTTCGTGACGGGTATATGAACGAAGCTAAAACTATTCTAGCTTCCTTGAAACAAGTTCATAGGGTTTTGTGCACCTCCGCTATAACAACATAACTTTCAGAATGTTCCGTTCGTAGTAGAAAAAATGGAAAGTATTGCTGAGAAAAAGGAAATATTGAGGAGGTTATACTGTAAATTATCTTTTTTTAATAATTTATGCAGACTTGAATGTTTGGAAGAGGGTAATCAGTTGATAGCCCAATGCAAAAGATCAATTGAGTTAAAGGATTTGAACGAATCGGAGAAACTTTTCGGTTTAGTTCTTAAACAAAGAACTTTAATAGAAGTTGATAGTCTATGCATATTCCGAGTAAAAATTCATTCTCTAGAAAGACACTTCAGAAACTTTTGAAAATGAGTTCGATGATCTAAAAGTGCTCATCAGAAGTTTTGTGGAATCGGGAATGTCGTCTATTTTTAAAAAAGTTGGATACCCATTTGAGAATTCAGTTGGTAAATCGAATTCTGAAGCTGTTATGTATGTGTATATCTTTCTAGATTTGAAACCTTTAGATGGGGAGATCGATCATTTAGTTAAATACATTTCTCTGTTATACCGAACACATGAGAACACCCAAGCTGGAACAGGGTAATAAGACTATAAAAGTAAAACAAAGTCTAACTACCTTATAGAATTCAAATTATATATGAGAAATCTTTCGAACCTCTGCGTAAACGATTTCTGTATTTTTTTTATGGAGAGCGAAAAACCAACAACATATCGAAGCCTCAATGGTATCTTTCGTTGGCTTTATCTTGGTTCCAAACTTGCTTACCGTTCTTCGAGCACTTACATTCAGTGATTGGTAAAAAACTGGTTGAGTATTTCATTTGATTCTTTGGACGTTCTCATCTTCTAGACAATCGATTTAGAGCCCTCTTTGTATTTCTTTGAATCAGTATCTAACTTGGTCTATGATAAAACTGAGAGTCTCCTTTATGATGAAGATGTGAGTTTTTTTTGTTTTAATTTTTCAATAACTTCCTTTAGTTGTTGCGAGAATCTTACTTATTTTCTCATCTCATTGATGAGTGTATATCTTATGAAGAGCATAAATCAGGTGGATAGTACAAAAGCTTCTTCATTATGTTTCATTTTTTAGAAATTGATGTATGCCAATTAGGTAGAAGCCTCATGGATCTATTGTCACGTAACGATATCTTGAAAATTTGGTTGACTGTATGTGGAAAGAATTATTTTGAAAAAATATTATTCTCGTTAAAGATTGAGAAGGATTGTTGCATTGCTAAAATAGATGACATCTTATTGAATCCCAACCGTTGGAAAGCAAGGTATGCTCTATTAGAAGACGCTGACCAGGTTTCTAATCTATTTTTACATGGACAAAAAAGATGCTTTAGTACTGTGTTTGTGAGTGTGCTGAATCGTTCGTTTCGTTGATTCAAGGACTACAACAGAGATCGAGATTGTTGAACGAAGAAAATGCAAAAGTTTTGTTGGAGAAAAGGCAATAACTGTTAATGTCATTTAGAGACAATTCGTGGACCTTCAACTTATTCTCGTCGATGATTTCCGCCAACGTTTAGTTCAGATCGCGAGACAGGCTGAGTCTCCATGGGCAGAGCCATACCCTCAAGTTATGAATGCTCTATGGTCTATTGTGAGAGCTTTGAATTTTTGAATTTTTTGTTCAAGGTATTTACGAGATGTTCTGGAGGAATGGAATGAAACTGCACTCCTAGCTGGAGCTCTGCCCCAAGAGCAGCAAAGACATGTTTTCAACATCAGCAGAGAGTTCTTCGAGTAGAAACAAAAGCATGTTTAATGATTCCATCTAAATTGTTTAGACATGTATGGGGTCAAATGGCAGATGACGTAGTTACTTCTCTCCATGTACAATGTGGTGGGCTAGTTAAAGGCTATCAACAACAGAAATGGTGCTGTGGAAGTTGAAATCTTTTTTATTCGCATGTTCAGGAGCTCGATGGAAAGTAGGCTATCCCATATGGAGAGAGAATTATCTGCTGCTTTCTGCCCACTTTTAATGAAAGTCAGAACATCGTTCTCTAATGTCGGCTTCCATTATTCAAAGGTATATATGAACTTGAAACTAATTGAACTTATTCTTACTCTAGGTGTCTGTACAAAATTTGTTCAAGAGAATGACTAGTATCATAGGCAGATCATTTGTTGAAGATGTCATCAGTCAAACTTCTTTCAAGTTGGTGTGTTTTTCTCCTGGAATTAACAATAATGTTTCAGTGCTGAAGGCGCTGCGCAAATGTTGCATGACATTGAGAAAGGGCTTCTACCAGCTTTAAACTTCGTATTTTCCAGATGTGCGATTGAAGGATTTCGCGCAGAATACGATAAAGTGAGTAAAACATTATGACAGGCGTTAACATATTTTTTCAGAATATAACTATTCTGCTGAGCTCACTGCGAGTTCTGTCATTGAGTTATGCTGTGGCAACTCTGTTGAGAGAAGAAATCGGAAATGTAAGGCTGAAACAGTTTCTCTCTTACTTTTCTTTTTCTAGTCACCTGATGAAACTGTTGAAGAAAAACTAGCCAGTTTGAATGTTTATAATTTGAACAAAGCAAATGTGGAGCTATTGCTGAAACAAAGATCGGACCTGGTCAATATAACCAAATTTGGTCTAAATTTTAATTAAACTGTGATAAAAACGGGTTTGATTCTTATTGCTTAAATTTATTAAACTTCGAAAACTACACGTATGAGTATAAAACGGAAAGAGGATTTTCATGTCATAAGGACAATCTGATACAATTAAAGAAAAGTTAAAACAGAGCTCACAACAGAAGATGGGGTTGTGGAGCTGGTTCCGATCAAGTAGACAGCCTTGTTCACTTAACAAACGATCAAAAAATGAAAG